ATTGAAGTCTCAGGAAGGTAGGAGAAAAAGTAAAAGTAAAACAAAACTTAGCATTCTAACTAGGAAAAAAATTTTTTATGTTTTTCTTGATTTAGAATTTGTCATCTTCATCTACTTCTTATCAGTAGTGAAGTTAGGACACAGATGTGATACTGCTCTGGCAAGTGTGGCTCAGTGGATAGAGCATCATCTCGAGCACTAAAGGGTTGCAGGTTTGATCCCACACCCCAGTTGAGGGGGCATGCAGGAGGCAATCCATCAATGTGTCTCTCTCACATCCATGTTTCTTTCTCTCTCTCTCTCTCTCTCTCTCTCTCTCTTCCACTCTCTAAAAATCAATGGTAAAAACATCCTTGGGCCCTGGCCGGTTTGGCTCAGCAGTTAGAGCATTGGCCTACGGTCCTGAGAGACCCGAGTTTGGTTCCCGCTAAGGGCGTGTACCTTGGCTGCAGTTTGTCCCCAGCCCTGGTTGGGCTGTGCGGGTGGCAACCACTCAATGTGTCCCTTTCGCATCGATGTTTCTCTCTCTCTTCCTCTCTCTCCCTCCTACTCTATCTGAACAAAAAAAAAAAGAAAAAATGTCCTTGAGTGAGGATTAAAAAAAGAAAGAAAAGGACAAGAACTCTATGATTTCACTCATATGTGGGATATAAAACAAAAAGCAACCAACAAAAATAAACTCACAGATACAACAGAATGGCGGTTACCAGAGGGGAAGCGGGGTGGGGGGAGGATGAAGAGGGTAAAAGGGGTCAAATACAAGGTGACAGACGAGAATGGACTTCAGATGGTGAGCACATAATAGAGTACAGGTGTTGTAGTATAAGGTTGTATACCTGAAATTTATTTAATGTTATTAATCAATGTTACCCCAATAATTTTAATAATAAAAAACTTTCACTAAGAAAAATTAGTGGCGCCGATAATCTATACAGTATCTTAAAGGATAATTAAGACAATAACCCTAACACTTGCATACAAAGCCACAGGCATAAAATGGAGAGAAATGAATAAGACTTATGTAGTGAGACAGAATTTACTGAACAAGATGAAATAATTGTGTGAACTGAATACCAGGCAAAACTTCATCATGAGTGACTGTTAATAGATCATGGAGTAGAACATTATGTCAAAAAAAAAAAAAAAAAAAAAAGAAGAAGATTCCTATACAGAAATTTCTCCAAAAAAACTAAGTGAAGTATAAGTTCTAGTCTTAATCCTTTAGAAAAAGGACAGGTTTTTTTTACCCATTTCCACTATTTGAAACAAATATATAGGGGATTTCCCTAATATCTAATAAACTGATATAGTTTCTTAGAAGCTGATTTAGTTAAGAGAATCAACTGTGATTGTTGCCTTCAGCTTTGTTGCAATACTATTATGTATGTCTAATCTATACTTTTTTTTTTTTTTTGTACATGCCCCTAGCGGGAACCGAACCCAGGACTCTGTTCCGCAGGCCAATGCTCCAACTGCTGAGCCAAACCGGCCAGGGTCTATACTTATTCTTTATTGTCAGTCTTCTCATTTAATACTACTACTCAACTACTTCACCCACTCTTAGACAATAGGACACCACACGTCAAAAGAAAATATCAATTGAGGACTTTCATTCAATAGACAGCACTTGAGGCCTACTAAAAACTATTTATATAGGGAGCAGACAGCTATAAGTACAAATCAACCTCTAAAGCTAACATAATGCCTTGAATGAGAAATGCCAAGCAGTATCCTGCTACTACATTGTGGGTGAGAAAGGTTAAAGTAACTGTCCAAATTAAGAGACCTGGAAATAACAACTAGGAATACAAGTTATCAATCTGCATGTTTAAATTTCTATTTACTTTCAAATGACAAGAGGTAGCCATATTTAAAGCCAGTTTCCAGAAAGTGTGATAGCCATCTATGAAAACTAATGAATAAACAATAAACTTTCTGGAGTAAACACCCAGAGGCTGAGCCTCACCTGCATGTGAGTGGGATATGAGCTACCAGGAGCCTGAGCAGAAGGTGTAGGTGGCGAAGAAGTGGCAGCAGGGGTTGGTGCTGGGGCTGCTTGTGGGGTGGGTGCTGCCGAGTCCAATGTATAATTTTTAAAGGCCTCAACATCCTCAGGTCTAAGGAAGAGAAAGAATGTATAAGTATAAGGGGGATTATAAAGCAGATTTATCTCCTGCAGAAGAGGTCTTAGGAGCCTTTAACTCCTAATTTCTCAATTCTGGGTTTAAAATACTCCACTAATTGCTTAAATTCAAAAAAATTACCAGGGTACTACTCACTTTTCCACTGTAATACAGATGATCGATCCAACGGGAACATCTCTGGTGCCTTCAGCAACAAGTATTTTTGCCATGTAACACTCCTCCATGCTTTCAAATCCAACAGTGGCTTTATCAGTTTCAACCTATTAACACAAAAGCTTGTGCTGCCAAGTATGAAGATTAGTAGCTTGTGCTTGGAATTATATAGCTCATGTGAAGATACAGCCTCTATCAGAGATTTAAAAGACAGAATTATCTTTTTAAATCTTAGCTAAAAATTCAGTTTGGCTGGGCCGGTGTGGCTCAGTGGCTGAGCGTCGATCCACGTACCAAGAGGTCGCCAGTTTGATTCCTGGACAGGGCACATGCCCAGGTTGTGGGCCCAAACCCCAGTGGGGGCATGCAGGAGACGGCCAGTTGATGTTCTCTCTCATGGATGTTTCTATCTGTTTTTCCCTCTTTTCCTCTCTCTCTCAAAAAATCAATAAAGAAAAAAAAAATTTTTTTTAATTCAGTTTGGCTAGCTGCTGACAACTTATGTACCAAGCTTCTCTAATATCAAGTTGTAATAAACATCTAAGTTTCTTAAGCAGAAGGAATAACTACCCACCAAGAAAGTTGATGCCCAGTCAGTCTCTTCTAACTTATCTGCATATTTTAAAACAGCTTACCTCTGCAATTAGTTCACCCTCATTGATTTTTTCCCCTTCCTTTTTCTCCCAACGGGCTATGGTGCCTGCTTGCATTGTGGGGGAAAGAGAGGGCAATGGAACCTGGGGGAGACAAAGGAGAAACGCTAAATTTTAAAAGAGCTACTTAGCTCTCGTTTAGTTTCATACCATTCAATTTAATTTAATGCAAAGAGTTGGGGATATGGAGAAATCATGGGAGTTCCTGCCACCAGAATCTCTCCAACGACAAACTTCCTGCTCCCCAGTCCTGTCGGTCTGACAGAGCAGCACCTGAGCACACATCCAGAGCCCCAGGTTTGGAGCTCTTCTTTCAACGGGGCAGATCGGGTGGTGGGAGCGCGAGTCACAGCAAAGCTGGGTACTGGAAGGGACAATGACACACACTGACAGAGGGGTGGAGGGCCCCTGAGGCCCCTGAGGGAAGGTCCAAGGCCAAGAAGTCCACCCTGAAGGACAACGGGGTCCCGCGAAGGACAGCTCTGGGGCTCACCTTCTGATGCGGGGGGAGACTGTAACAGCGGCGGCCAGGCGATCTCCAGAGCTGCAGCAGGAAGCGACTCCGCGGCCGGGCCCAGGAGCCGGGGCGCCAGCCGCAGAACGCCCGGACTCTACATCCAGTGGTCGCGCTGATGCAACGAGCCGGAGCTGGACCGACCCGCGGGGTCACGCCCGGAACTCCCGGCTCCTCCCGCAAGGCGGCCCACCGAGCCCCGAATCCTGCTCTGGGGGCCGCATGCTGGGCTCGTCGCGCACAAACGCGCCACATTGTTCCACGGACCCCAACACCCCCCCAACGAACGCCGTCTCCGGAGTGACCTCTCCAGGAGCAGAGCGGCGTTGCCGTCAGCCAAGCCGCGTAGCCGCACGTTGTCGTAAAACGGGCTCCAAAAATTCGCCCCACCCAGTTACCACACCAGAAATGTAAGAAACATCCACGCTGCCCCGGGTGTGCGCGAGGGAAGGGGTGGTTTGAAGTGGGTAGGGGCGGTTCCTCCGGAGCCAGAGGCGGGGAGCCAGCGCGGCACGCGTTTGGGAGAAAGAAGACGTCGCGAGGAGCGGAAGGTGGGGGGGTCGGAGGAGCGGGACCTTAACGCAGGACAGGGCCCAAGCGAGGCGCGGGGCGCGCCCAAAGCAGAGGCCGAAGAGGCGGCGAGAGCGGGCTGACCTGCACGGTGGGCCGAGGCGGTGGGCTGAGGGCAGTGACCAAACTTGGGAGCAAAGCGGGAGGACCGCTGGGCGCGGAGGGCCGGGGGCCAAGGGCGCGTTGGGACGCGCGGGTAGCGGTGGTCGCATTCCCGGGGTGCTCTCAGCCTCCGCGGCCCTGCGGCGGGCCTCGCTCAGCGCAGGCTGTGCTGGGTTTCACAGGTTTTATTTCAGGTTTGCCGCCCACACGGAAACCAGAGTAAACGGGTTTTCCAGCCAGAAGCTGTGAAAGGCAGCCAAGGGAAGATACATTCCTACATTCCCACGTTCAGCTGTACCGCAGCCGGATTAAGCCTGCTCCGTGTGTGAAGATACAAAACAGATTTGCGTTTCTAATTGACCGTAGAATCCCTTGAAGTCGCACACGGTTTGTTCCGCTTGAAATACATTGTCCTAAAACAACGAGGAGCCCAGGGTGCAGGAAGCATGTCCTGTGTTCGAGGCTGAGTGCATGTCTTTTGAATTAACAAAAAGTTATCTACAACATTTGTTAGGTACACTTTACTGTAGGGATATTATCCTATAATTAGAAAATATCTCATTTCTGAGCTGAGGATGACATTAGATTAGCAGGAAGCAAGTGCTGTATTTATTTATATCTCGTAAGTCCCCAGTGTACACATGGTCAGAGAACACCAAGAACACAACAAAGTCCTGGCTGGTTTGGCTTAGTTGGAGCCTCCTCCGGAGGCATTGCACTGAAAGGTGTCGGGTTCAGTTCTGGCCAGGGCACATACCCAGCTTTCAGGTTGGATCTCCAGTCGAGCACATCACGTTTCTCTCTCACATTGCTGTTTCTCTCTTTCTCCTTCTCCTTTCCTCTCTCTCTCTCTAAAAAAAGAAGAAGAAGAAGAAAAAAATGAAATAAATAAAAACCACAACAAATAGGAAGAAAACGCATCATGAAAACATGTTCAAGCTTGCTGGTAATTAAACATTTGGAAGATTAAAACGGCCAGAAGGTATTATTTCACATCTACTTAAATTAGATACTAAACTCTAGAAACCCAGTATTAATGAGATTGCAGAAACAGAGATTATCTCGTTTGATGGCACTAAGCATTGGTTGTTTTTGAGATGGCAATAGTAATTTGAAATAATCAGGGAAAAAAATGTTTAAATTTCCCCCCAAAATCCTATTTTACAATCTTTGAGGCATTCAAAACAAGGAAGAAAAGGTTTTAGTATCTTTACAGAAAAAGAAATGGAAAAACACCTAGACAGTCCTGACCCATTTGGCTCAGTGGTTATAGTGGCAGCCAGTGGACCAGAGGGTCCTGGGTTCAGTTTCTGTTAAGGACAAGTACCTCGGTTGCAGTTTGTCCCCAGCCCCGGTTGGTGTCATGTGGGTGGCTACGACTCGATGTGTCTCTCTCACATCCATGTTTCTCTCTCTTCCTCCCTCTCTCTCTCTCATTCTATCAGAAGATAGATGCAAAATGTCCTCCGGTGAGGATAAAAATTATAATGTAAAAAAAGAAAAACAACTATACAAAAATGAGGAAAAGATTACGCAAACACAGCTGCCTAACAATAATATGCAGGCACTACAGTGGAGAAATACTGTATAAAATTTCCAGATTAAATGGAAAGGCACATTCAAAATAATATTAAGAGTACAGAAATTAGCCCTGACTGGTTTGGCTCAGTGGTTGGAGCATTGGCCTGCGGACCAGAGAATCCCAGGTTCGGTTCCCACTAGGGGCACATGCCAAAAAGAAAAAAAGAGTACAGAAATTATATTGTCAAATTATGTAAAACTACTTAAAAATAACAATTGAAAGAATCAGTGGAAGGGCCCTGGCCGGTTGGAGAGTCGGCCTGCGGTCCAGAGAGACCTAGGTTCGGTTCCCACTAGGGGCGTGTACCTTGGTTGCAGTTTGTTCCCGGCCCTGGTTGGTTGTGCGGGTGCCAACCACTCGATGTGTCCCTTTCATGTTGATGTTTCTCTCTCTCTCTTCCTCTTTCTCCCTCCCACTCAATCTGAACCAAAAATGGAAAAATGTACTCAGGTGAGGATAAAAAAAAAAAGAATCAGTGGAAGGAATAACTGTGATTAATGAAAGGGCTTAAACTATATAAATTATTATAAAAGCGTAATGATTTTGAATAGCCTAAAATATCTACCTTCACTGCATTTGAATTTAACTGGACCTAAATTAGCCTTTGTAGATGATCTTCTATTAGCTGTTTACTTACTTTGGTAGGCTTGCTTAAACCTTGTTTTGCATTTTTCAATACATAGCAGGTTTGCATCTTGAATTTACTTTTGACAGGTGTAGCTAAATCATAGGAGGGCACAGATCAAACAGTCCAGAGAAATTAAATTGATGCCAGAGGTAAGTTAGGAATTCTTATTTTGGTCAAATTAGTCCTGAGAGAATAGGCCTGAACTCCCCTGTACAGACTGAATAAAGCAATATAAGGAAAAGGAAAACTGAAAGCTCTAATAAAGTTTGCACTCTTGAGTTCTTGTTTGCATATTTATATATAGTTTAAAATAAGTGCTAAATCAATGAATTCTCTTCGATAAATGACAGTCTATTTTGTGCTTACATTAGAAATACTAATAGTAAAATACCGATGGCAATAAAGTAGTCCTTATCTCCACTCCTCAACTAAGAGTAAATATGCTACCAGGGAGATCACTTGAGGAAATTTGCTTTCACTAAATGTAAATTGCTTTATTGATTAATTTCAGTCAATAAACACAAATGGCCCTGGTCAGTTTGGCTCAGCAGTTAGAGTGTTGGCCTGTGGTCCAGAGAGATCCAGGTTCGGTTCCCACTAAGGGCATGTACATCGGTTGTGGTTTGTCCCCGGCCCTGGTTGGGTCGTGCGGGTAGCAGCCACTCCACATGTCCCTTTCACATCGATGTTTCTCTCTCTCTCTCTCTCTCTCCCACCCACTCTATCTGAACAAAAAATGCCCTTGGGTGAGGATTAAAAAAATAAATAAACACAAATGAAAATGATTAATAGTATTTAGTTTGTAAAAAAAACCTCCATTTTATTCATAGTTTGTTATTTTTTTTAATTAGTTCACAAATATATATAGGCAGTTAAAACCGATTATCACTTTGATAATCAGAAGCCTTGGTATAACACAGTCTTTATGAAAACACATTCTAAAACAGGAAATACATGGTAATAATCTCTTTGAAAGCAATGGTTGCCAATCTCAACATAAGAAATATTCAAACCTATAGAGAATTTTTGTGAGTATATTTTAGCCAAACTGGAGATGATTGTTGGAAAGCAAAATCTCAATGGATTGAGCTAATGCTCCAGAGAAGGGCAGTTTTGCATCATATTTTATATATTACAATCAAAACAGAAGCCCTAGCCAGTTTGGCTCAGCAATTAGAACATCAGCCCGCAGACCAGAGGGTCGCAGGTTCCATTCCTGGTTAAGGGCACATACATGGGTTGCAGGTTTGACCCCTGGCCCTGGTCAGGGTCCTGTGGGAGGCAACCAATCATGTGTCTCTCTCACATCCATGTTTCTGTCTGTCTCTCCCTTCCACTTTATCTAAAAATCAATGGAAAAATATCCTTGGGTGAGGATTAACAACAACAAAAAAGAAGACACAAGTGGGTTACATGAAATTTATTGGTGATAGATTAGGGAGGTAGAAGAAAGTAAAGCTGGGAAACTTCTGGGGTTGGATGAAAAACAAAATGATGGCCCTGGCCGGTTTGGCTTAGCGGTTAGAGCGTCGGCCTGCGGTCCAGAGAGACCCGGGTTCGGTTCCCGCTAAGGGCGCGTACTTCGGTTGCAGTTTGTCCCCGGCCCTGGTTGGTCGTGCGGGTGGCAGCCACTCGATGTGTCCCTTCACGTCGATGTTTCTCTCTCTCCTTCCTCTCTCTCCCTCCCACTCTATCTGTACAAAAAATGGAAAATATCCTCAGGTGAGGATAAAAAAAAAAAAAAAAGAAAAACAAAATGATGGACACAATTTTTACATAGGTGGGTACAGCATAGTTAACAGTCTCAAGTAACATAACAATAACAGAGAGGATTTGTGGTGTCACCTTGGTGCTTTGGTTGTGCCCTGAGGGGTTTGGGAAAAAAGGGGTGTTGCCCTGACATTCCAAAGGAATGATATACAGTGATACCTCGGTTCTCGAACGCCTCGGATTTCGACCAAATCGGTATTCGACCAGGAGATTCGAGAAACTTTTGTCTTGGAATCCGAACAAATATTTGGAACTCGAACTTCCGAGATGAGCCGAGTTGAGCCGAATGGCCTTCATTCGGCCCAGCGCGCCTTGCTTGCATCATCAGTGTGAGTGCAGAGAGAGTCACGCTTTGTGGAGAGAGTCACGCTTTACACTGAATTCAACCCTTAGACATACTGTACACTTTTATTTCTTGTTGAGACTTATGTTTTTCTACATATTATATACAAATTAGGCCAGTAAATAGGCATTTTCTGGGGCTTGGAACGAATTAATCCAGTTTCCATTATTTCCTATTGGGTTTCATTGCTTCGGTTCTCGACCGTCCTCCTGGAACGAATTATGTTCGAGAACCGAGGTATCACTGTATTTGATGCAAAAGACAATAGATTGGCTTACTTAAGGTAAAGATTGACTTTTTTTTGTTGTTCAGATAGAGCGGGAGGGAGAGAGAGGAAGAGAGAGAGAGAAACATCGATGTGAAGGGACACATCGAGTGGCTGCCACCCGCACGACCAACCAGGGCCGGGGACAAACTGCAACCGAGGTACGTGCCCTTAGCGGGAACCGAACCCGGGTCTCTCTGTACCGCAGGCCGATGCTCCAACCGCTGAGCCAAACCGGCCAGGGCAAGATTGACTTTTGTCAGGAAAGATTCTAGCCTAGGACATGACTACTTTTCATAGACTACTTAAGTTTTCATTTCATACCATCCTTTGTGGTTACTTTTGGTCTCTGAGTTTGAAAGGCCATCACGTAGGCCTTCCCTGAGCTTGTTAGGTTAGTATGTGGCCACTTTTCCTCCACACCCCTGTTTTGGTCATAAATCAGTCCAAAGAATGCATGATGGACCACCAACCTTTTGGTTGAATAATGAGGCCCCACAGTGCTAGGAAGGCTCATTCTTAGTAAGTCTCAGTGTTAACGCTTGTTTTGCTGAACAACAGACCATTGGTTATGGAGCAAGACGGTAACCTTGGATGGAAGTCCAGGCCGAATTTTTTCCCCCCAAAGTTAAAGGCAAGTAAATGGTAGTCCATCAGAGCTTATGGGCCTTTAATAAGAAAAACAATCTGGATTATTATTTATTTTTTTGTGGTACATGCCCCTAGCGGGAACTGAACCCCGGACTCTCTGGTCTGCAGGCCGATGCTCAACAGCTGAGCCAAACTGGCTAGGGCTGGATTATTTTTAAACTATAAATTATTATGATCCAGGTTTTGTTGTCTGTCTTATGTTTTTACATTTTGCATTTAGTATAACATACACTTATAGTTTGAGGGTATAACACATACCTTTTTTTAAGGACAGAAAACAGGTCTCTCCTTTTCTTTATGGTTTTTCCACAATTTATGATAAGCACCTGGTAATTTAACGCTGAGATTGCTGGCTCTTCTGATTCAGACCGCCCCTCTGTCCAAACAGTGAGACAGATAAGGGCTGTGTTCAAGGTTGTACTCCCCCCATGCCCCCACCATTTTAACAACTCTGAAATGATTCACACCGAGGAATCTCTAGTTAGTAGAAAGTTCCCTTCCCCCTCCCCTTAAGACAGGCCTCTCCCTTTCCAACTCTGTATAACTTTTGCTCTAAGCTTATTTTACAGGCTTCAGAAAATGCTTATAAAGACATCTCCTTAGTACATCTGTGGGACTGTCTCCCGGAAAGCAAACAAACTAACTTCTCAAGACAACCCCTGGATTCTGGTCCACTGCAACACAACTCCCCTCCCTTCTTTATCATTTTGCCATAGCTGCAGTTTACTCTCTCAAACTACAATAAGAGACCAGTCCTCTCTATCTTTGCCACCCTGTATTACCAATCAATACACCAGCCCTTTCCTTCCTTGGAAAGTAAAGTAAATTTCCTCACTGTATCTCTTATCTTAATTGTGAATTCTTTTTTTTTTTTTTGGTATGTGCCCCTAGCGGTAACCCACCCCAGGACTCTCTGATCCACAGGCCTACGCTCCAGCTGCTGAGCCAAACCGGCCAGAGCAGAGTTGTGAATTCTTTCACAAGCCTGTGTCACCAGCCCAAACCCTAATACTTTTCAGCTTTTATGATCTGACCATGAGATGACTTTGAGAAAAGTCTAAAGAACAAGTATAATAATAATAATTATCATTAATATTATTAGCAACATTAATCTGTAGTATACAGTTCTTATCAGTGTCTCGGGATGGCTGTCTATATTTGATGTTTGGGCTTCTCATCTTTAAAAAGTCTTTGATTTCCACTGTAGATGGAGGCAAGTGTCAGAAACAGGAGATGTCCATTCGCAGTCAAACACCTGATACGGTCCCTTCCAGCACTGTTGGAAAGAGTCTTTAATGAATGTCTTTACCAATGGACAAAAATCTCCTGGTTGTAAATTGTGGTCTTTGACATCTTTGTTTCCTGGGAGTATACTGTGAAACGAATGTTACTAATTTATTCGTCCCTATAACCTGGCTAATGAGCCATTGATAGTAATGCAGAATGTCTCCTTTTAGTTTTCCTTATATTTGGAAACAAAAGATTTTAAAATCAGCAATATGTAAAACTGAGTCATAAGAATAATTATTTTCAGTTCATTTAGTCCCATAACCATTGTTTTGTTTATTCTGATTATTTGCCAGTATTTTTATGAATTGTTATTTCTTAGAGTTTAATAAACTTTTTTAAATGTTTTTTTTCCTTTATTGATTTTAGAGAGGAAGTGCGAGGGAGAGATAGATAGAAACATCAATAAAAGAGAACATCAATTGGCCGCCTGCTGCATGCCCTCCACTGGGGATTGTGCCCACAACCTGGGCATGTGTCCTGACCAAGAATCGAACCAGGGAACTCTTGGTGCATGGGTTGACACTCAACCACTGACCCACACTGGCCAGACAAGTTTAATAATATGATTTAGTTTAAAGATATGATCAGCTTAGAAACCTGTAATTTAGAGTGTCAGAGTCCTTTTCATGGATTTTCTTTTTTTTTCCCCCATGGATTTTTCTAAAGATGTAATATGTGTGCAAATTTACCAGAGTTAAACAATGACTGTTTATAAATGACAAAATTTAAAGTGGCATGGTAATAGATTTGATTATAATGCGATTAATAAAAAAATTTTTACTTTTTTGTAAGAGATAACATTTCAAGACCACAATTTATTGGTTCTCTTATAGTTTGAGTCTTGACTCTGAATTCTTTCCTTGCCAGAACTCAAGTACCAAGGTTCTAAACCCAGGTCCGGTCCAACACTACCGAGCTAACACTTGGTGTCATTCCTGCCAGCTACAACATAATGGTGCCATGCCTCAGATGGTGTGGCAGGATTCCAGAGGAGCGCATGCTGGACCGCCTTGTGACATAGTGCCCCACCAGCTCCTCACTTTGCATCGGGTGTACTTGAGTGAATTGCTTGGAATTCCAGACCTCTTTGTTTTAAGGTAAGAGGCTGACTTTCTTTATTTCTTTTCTTTTTTTAATTTTTAATTTTTATTTATTTATTTATTTATTTTATCCTCACCTGAGGACATTTTTTCATATTTGCTCAGATAGAGTGGGAGGGGGGGAGAGAGAGAGAGTGAAACATCAATGTGAAAGGGACACATCGAGTGGCTGCCACCCTCACGACCCAACCAGGGCTGGGGACAAACTGCAACCGAGGTACGTGCCCTTAGCGGGAACCGAACCCAGGTCTCTCTGGACCTCAGGCCGATGCTCTAACCGCTGAGCCAAACTGGCCAGGGCTCTTTTCTTTTTTTTAACTCTTTTTTTTTTTTTTATCCTCACCCAAGGATATTTTTCCATTTTTTTGTACAGATAGAATGGGAGGGACAGAGAGGAAGGGAGAGAGAGTGAGAAACATCGACGTGAAGGGACACATCGAGTGGCTGCCACCCGCACGACCAACCAGGGCCGGGGACAAACTGCAACCGAAGTACGTGCCCTTAGCGGGAACCGAACCCAGGTCTCTCCAGACCGCAGGCCGATGCTCTAACCGCTGAGCCAAACTGGCCAGGGCTTAACTCTTTTTTTTTTTTATCCTTACCCGGGGACCTTTTTCTATATTTTATTCAGATAGAGTAGGAGGGAGAGAGAGACAGAGAAACATCGACATGAAGGGAAACAAAAGGGACACATCGAGTGGTTGCCACCCACATGACCCAACCAGGGCCAGGGACAAACTGCAACCGAGGTACGTGCCCTTAGCGGGAACTGAACCCAGGACTCTCTGGTCCGAGGGCTGATACTCTAACTGCTGAGCCATTCTGGCCAGGGCCTTTTTCAATTTTTTAAATCTTTTTATTGCCCTGGCCAGTTTGGTTCAGCGGTTAGAGCGTCGCCTGCGGTCCGGAGAGACCCGGGTTCGGTTCCCGCTAAGGGCACGTACTTCGGTTGCAGTTTGTCCCCGGCCCTGGTTGGTCGTGCGGGTGGCAGCCACTCGATGTGTCCATTCACGTCGATGTTTCTCTCTCTCTCTCCCTTCCTCTCTCTCCCTCCCACTCTATCTGTACAAAAAATGGAAAAATATCCTCGGGTGAGGATTAAAAAAAAAAAAAAAAAAAAAAAAAAAAAAAAAAAATCTTTTTATTTTTTTTATTTATTTATTTATTTATTTATTTATTTATTTATTTATTTATTTATTTATTTAGGTATGTGCCCCTAGCGGGAACTGAACCCAGGACTCTCTGGTCCGCAGGCTGATGTTCCAACCACTGAGCCAAACCAGCCAGGGCTATCATTATTGATTTTTTTTTTTTAATTCTCACCTGAGGACATTTTTCCTTTTTTTTTTCAGGTTGAGTGGGAGGGAGAGAGAGGAACAGAGAGAGAGAGAGAAACATCAACGCGAAAGGATCACATCGAGTGGCTGCCACCCGCACGACCGACCAGGGCCGGGAACAAACTGCAACCGAGGTACATGCCCTTAGCGGGAACCAAACCCGGGTCACTCTGGACCGCGGGCCGACGCTCCAACCGTTGAGCCAAACCGGCCAGGGCTATCATTATTGATTTTAAAGAGAGAGGAAGGGAGAGGGAGAGAGAGAAATAGAAACATCGATGAGAGAGAACACTGATTGGCTGCCTCCTGCATGCCCCCACTGGGGATTTGGCCCACAGCCTGGGCATGTGCCCTGACTGGGAATCAAACTGGCTACCTCTTGGTGCATGGGTCAACCCTCAACCAGTGAGCCACACTGGCCAGGCTGAGCCATCTTTTTTTAAAAAATATATGTTTTTATTGACTTTTTAGAGAGAGAGAGAGAGGAAGGGAGAAAGAGATAGAAACATTGATGTGAGAGAGATATTGATTGGCTGCCTCCTGCAAGCCCCCTACTGGGGATGGAACCCAAACCCCGAGCATGTGCCCTGACTGGGAATCAAACCAGATCCTTTCAGGCCATGGGACAATGCTCTGTCCACTGAGCCACACAGTCTGGGTTGAGTCATCTTTTAAAATGCAAGTTTTGTCTCGCCGGTATGGCTCAGTGGTTGAGCATCGACCCATGCACCAAGAGATGGCCAGTTCGATTCCTGGTCAGGGCACATGCCCAGGTTGTGGGCCCAATCCTTAGGGGGGGGCATGCAGGAGGTGGCCGATCGATGTTCTCACCAATGTTTCTATCTCTTTCTCCCTCTCACTTCCCCTCTGTCTAAAATCAATAAAGGGAAAAAAATTTAAAAATAAAATGCAAGTTTCTGGGAGGTAATCCTCATTAAAAGGAAAATATTGCCCTGACCAGTTTGGCTCAGCGATTGGAGCGTCAGCCTGCGGACCAGAGAGTCCCGGGTTCGGTTCGCGCTAGGGGCACATACCAAAGAAAAAAAAAGGAAACTATCTTAGCCATCTGAGCAGATCACATTAACTTATTTCAGCTGTTAAACATTGATTGCTATATAAATCTTAAGTCCACCTACTTTTGGCTTTTTTTAACAGAAAAGCTAGAAAATACAGTTGTCCCTCGCCACTTCGTGCTTCGACTTTCACGGCTTCACTCTATAGCAGTTTTTCCAGCCCCTCGCCACTTTGCGCTTTGACTTCGCGGCTTCACTACAAAAATGGACGCGTGAAGTGGCGAGGGGCGACTGTGTATAAATAAAGAATCCTACTTCATGGAAATGCATTTATCGCGGTAGAGTCTGGAACTGATTAACCACGATAAAGGAGGGCCCACTGTACACTTGAAGCTATTAGTGAATGTCTAATACTTTATTAGAAATGTGTTTCTTAAAAGTGTGAGTGTGGCCCTAGCCGGTTTGGCTCAGCGGTTACAGTGTCGAGACCCAGTTCGGTTCCCACTAAGGGCACGTACCTCGGTTGCAGTTTGTCCCCGGCCCTGGTTTGGTCATGCGGGTGGCAACCACTCGATGTGTCCCTTTCACATCGATGTTTGTTTCTCTCTCTCTCTCTCTGTCTCTCTCCCTCCCACTCTTTCTGAACAAAAAATAGAAAAATGTCCTCGGGTGAGGATAAAAAAAAAGTGTGAGTGTGGCCCTGGCTAGTGGTTAGTGCGTTGGCCTGTGCACCAAAAGGTTGTGGGTTCCGCCCTGGCCGGTTTGGCTCAGCGGTTAGAGCGTCGACCTGCGGTCCGAAGAGACCCGGGTTCAGTTCCCGCTAAGGGCACGTACCTCGGTTGCAGTTTGTCCCCGGCCCTGGTTGGTCGTGCGGGTGGCAGCCACTCGATGTGTCCCTTTCACGTCGATGTTTCTCTCTCTCTGTTCCTCTCTCTCCCTCTCACTCTACCTGAACAAAAAATGGAAAAATGTCCTCAGGTGAGGATGATAATAAATAAATAAATAAATAAATAAATAAATAAATAAATAAATAAATAAATAAATAAATAAATAAATAAAAAGGTTGTGGGTTCCATTCCTGGTGAAGGGCATATACCTGGGTTGTAGGTTCGATCCCTGGCCCCAGTTGGGGTGCATGTGGGAGACAATCAATTGATGTGTCTCTTTCATATCGATGTTTCTCTGTCTCTCCTCTTTTCCTCCTTCCCTCCCATTCTCTAAAAATCAATGGAAAAAAATATCCTTAGGTGAGGATTAACAGAAGAACAAAACAAAACAGAAATTGTGAGTATGTTTGCCAGTGGAAGTGTGCTGACATGTTTGTAACCCCATAATTGATGATTGGTAAATGATTGTGCTAACTTGTTTATAGCTCCATAATTGGTGATTGGGAAAGTCACTGTGTGTCCTCTAGCTGAACCTGTTTTGTAAAGAATCTAATCAACAGAATAGAGATCAAAATAACCAGATAACCTCAGTAAATTGGAATACTCCCTGGACCAAGAAATGTCTAAGATGTGACCAAAAAAGGTCAGGTTCCCAGATTAGCCAGGTTAGCCATCTGTCTACCTGCATATTTTCGCTTTTGTACGTGCTTGCTCTGCTACAGTGCATACTGGAATACGGTTTTAAGCTTTAACAGGTGTGTGTGAGGAGGTCGGGGCTAATTCCGAAGACTGTCACGGGTGTTTGGGATCAGAGGCCGGCTGGCTAATACGCATCTCTTATTTGGACTTCAATTCTCTAATGGCCTTTCTTTGACTCTGTTGCACCACAACAGAAGAGCCTATGTTTCTAAAAGTTATGAAATATACTTACCAATCTAAAGGATACTAATTGCTTACTTTTTTTTTCTGGTATGTGCCCCTAGCAGGAACCAAACCCAGGACTCTGGTCCGTAAGCCGACGCTCAACCGCTGAGCCAAACTGGTCAGGGCTAATTGCTTACTTTTTAATGGTCACTAAAACTCAAGGTTTTTAAGAGTAAAGAATTATAATTGGAAAAAAATTGTATAATTTTGGTGATAGAAGGTATAAGATATGGAAATATTTTTGTCGTTGTTGTTAATCCTCACCTGAGGATATTTTTTAGTTGATTATTAGAGTGGGAGGGAGGGAGGAAGAGAGAGAGAGAAACATTGATGTGAGAGAGATACACTGACTGGTTGCCTCCCACCCAACCCCAGCCAGGGCCAGGGATTGAAACTGCAACCCAGGTATGTAACCTTGACCCTGATTAAGCCTATGACCCTTCAGTCCGAAGGCCAACACCTTAACCACTGAACAGAACCAACCAGGGATGGAAATATTTTGGGAAAAAGAAGTTGTTATTTCTGAATGAGTAAAAAGGTTTATGAAAGTTATAGAAGTTTTGTGAAGAGAAATCTTTAAAGGAAATTATAAGTTAGCTGAATAATGAATTTAATTAAATAAGTAACCTTAAAGATCAAAAAAGTAAGCTAATACAAAGTCGAAGTTTGGCCCTGGCCAGTTTGGCTCAGCGGTTAGAGCGTCGGCCTGCAGTCCGGAGAGACCTGGGTTCGGTTCCCGCTAAGGGCACGTACTTCGGTTGCAGTTTGTCCCCGGCCCTGGTTGGTCGTGCGGGTGGCAGCCACTCGATGTGTCCCTTCACGTCGATGTTTCTCAC